ATTGCTTGTTTAATTGATCCAAATTTCCAACTCTCTTCACAACACTCTTCATTGCCTTCAATAAATCATCCAATTTTTCAATAATGACAATCTTGTGTTCCTTCCTTACGAAATGATTTAAATAAAATTCCCTTCTCATTTCCATTTCAATTCTCCTCATCACTGATGATGATGAATTCATATTCGAGAAGGGATTAATCAATTCCTGAGTTTTTTCCAACAGTGCCTGTTCATCCTGTAATTTCTGAATGCACTTGTTCAATTCCGATTCAAAAGTTGATCTCTCTTCCTTTGATTGATTTAATTGTTGATTATTGAGAGCATCTGCTAATACTTGATAGGCTTTTCCGAAACGATTCAATTCCATCAAACCTTTCGAAAGTCTGAAATAACCTTTACTGAATTTCGGATCCAATTTTATGGTTTGTTCTGCATCACTAATCATGGATCGATAATCGGCAATATTCTGATAGCAGGCACTTCTGTTGGAATAATAGATGGAATTGTTCGGATCTAATTCTATACATTTTGAATATAATTCAATGGCTCGATCATACTTTTTCAATTTGAAAAATTGATTTCCTTCTTCTTTAAATTTTTGTGCTTGCTCTGATTGAGACATTTTTTTGAAAGCTTGGTTATCGGAATTGATACTGTTACAACAATTCCGATATCAAAAGATAATGTCAATGATAATCACAAGTGATCTGCCAAATGTCATAAATTGAGAAAGATTTAATATAAAATAAATTTATTAAGGGGTATATAAATGTATATAAATTTCAGAGATTAGTTATAACTAATATCTGCAGTGAAGGTTTAAGGGTGGTGATGAGACCAATATTCCGTACAAGTGAGTATGCTGGCAAAACGTTGTCAGACAACAATCACATACAAACTTGCAAAGGGTGTTATACAAATGTGTTAAGTAAATTGGTTGGTGGGCGTGGAGAAACCAGAATCAATCTCAAAACAAGTATTGTGTCAACGCCGCTTGAGATGAGATTAAACAATGTGCCTCTGGTTTTTGGTTAGAGATTTGATGGATGTTAGCATATAGGTTTGTCAAGGAAGAGGAAGAACTATTAAATGTTCCACTCCCAAAACAAACCAAACTTGTAAATATAGTACAGTTGAAGCAGTATCACCACTATTTGCCAATAAAGTTTTGGAGCTTGACAAGTAAAGTGAGCAACACTACTACAAGTAAATATGCATAATATATAAATGAACCACTGCCACCATAAAATAAAACTCATCCCAATAATTCCTTAATCTACAAGTCCAAAATGGACAAGTTGATAAACTCGTGAGGCTTTGGAATGGTAATAAATGGTTTGACCTTTACCTTCTTATCCTCGGCGAGTACCTCCACTTCATATTCATTGTAGTAGATTCTAGCCTTTTCATTAAAGCCATAACTCTTGTAGAGTTGTTGAGAGTAGGCACCAGTACATTCAACAAGGACTTCGTTGTATCCAAGTTGTTTGGCATATTCGAGGTTCTTCTCGAGCATTCTGGTAGCCAATCTCATTCTACGAGCAAAGGCAAAGACACCAGCACTACAGACTTTCATAGTCTTCTTCTTCTTTTCGCCGCTTTTGATGCCATCGAATGAAGTACGAGGGGAACCATGAGATTCGAATGGTGATTCTGGTTCTTCTTGAATAGCCTTTTCGTTAGCATGAAAAACTTCATGCAAACGTTCAAGCAATTCACCTTGAACAGTAACACCAGGATCATCACTGTGAGGTCAACCCAGGTTTCATAGTCATGGCACAAGTGGAATCCAACAACCATCTTGGAGTTTCTGTCAATGGCCAACATGCTCAACTTGCCATCACAACATTGTTGTGCATAGACAAGAGAGTAGGCGAAAAAGTTGATTGGATTGGTACGAGTGGCAATACAGAGAGGTTCTTCTTGAGCAAAAACAACAGAGAGAGCTACGGCTACTTGTTGTACATACTCTTGAGTGAAGAGAACAATATCAAATTGGTCTGCAATTGGTTGAGGGGAAGTAACGGCAGCGTGTCCAACTTCAACAACATTGGTTGTTGCCTTGGTTGGAGTTGGAATGGTCTTGGCTAAAACATCGTTGGACAAGATACCACTACTACTATTCTTCTTGTTAATATTGGAGCTGGTTGCGTTTTCTACTGATGGAATCATTAAAATAGACATTTTCAATGAAGTGTTGAGAGGTTAATTGATGAAATTATATGGTTTGGTTATTTAATATAAAATAATAGAGTGGATATATATATACTACTATTATGATGGATATTATATATAAAAAAACTGTTTAGTTTAAATGAAATGGAAATGCTTATAGAGAGCAATTTTGCATTGATATAGTTAATAAATGTAGAGTATTACTATTAATATTAATGTGAGTATTAATTAATAATTAATGGTAATGATTGGAAAATCACTATTATTATGATTACTTGGGTTATAATTCAAATTCTTTTTGCAATTAATATGGAAAAACTTTTGCATCGCTCGCCTGCAAAGCCGTATATTCTATCTAGTATTATAAGGAGATAATAAGATCTCTAGATGAAGTGCACAAAGCAAAGAAAAAAGGAGGGTTTAAAAAAAAGCGTTGGTTTGTTTTGCGCGGAGAGTTTTTACTACACTATTAGGAGTGTTGTTCGAGTCTCTAGATTTTTTTTGATGTTTGGTTTTAAAAATAGAACAAAATGAGGGTTCATTTATAATATTTTCACCACCTTATTGAGTGGGTAGGTATTTTAAATGAGAACAAAAGAAGCTCCGCGTAAAGATGATGTAGAGATGAAGAATATTTGGTACTGACTTTGAGTAAGGTATCATTCAATATTGGATAGCCGGAATCATTCATTGAATGAGGACTAGTTGTTCCTGTGGTTGTATGAAGAACTATGAAGATGCATGAAAGAAAATTAAAAATATTTATATTCTCACTTCTCTCTCGATTGTAGTACGTTAAGAAGGTAGGTGGTTGTTGTATGAATAGATTCTCTCATTATTGAGGTTGGAGGTTGTTATTGTAATGCGGGAGAGATAGGAACGTTGAAGGAATTTGTTTACTTTCCATTATTCTTGGTTTTCCATAATCGGAATGATTGGTTTTATGCTTAATGGAAATGTTTTGCATGTATTGTCAGGCATCGGAATTGTTTTTGATTCTTCTTCAACAAATTGTGTAACCCTAACAGTAGTTATTTTAAACTAAATTTTTGATTGTAAAAATTATTAATAGTGTGAATATTACATATTGTAAAATATCATGGAAATATTGGAAATATGATTGTAATTATATTATTTAATATTAAATATATTACTCTATTATATATTAAATAAATTAAAAATCAAAAAAAATGTATCGATTTGGAA